CTTTCATCGGGTCTTAGCGTCACTTCAAGCGACTAAGACTAACCCTCTTTGGGAACTGGACAGCCTGCCGTTCTTTGCGACTGCTGCTGTTAACTCTTTTTATGACTTTACTTTCTCATACAGTATATGAGGAAGAATTTACACGTTTTCAGGGGGACACGCGGTAGCGTAGTTGGTTGAGGCACTCTGGTACAAGCCGTAAGGTCGCCGGTTCGATTCCCGATGTCATTGGAGTTTTCAATTGACCTAATCCTTCCAGCGCCGGTCACGGTAGCCGAGCGGTATAAGGCGGCCCATATACATACGAGTCTGGGTCGGCGAGGAGCCTGGCTCGGATTAATTTCACCACACAAGTATGAGCGTGGCGACCCACACACGGGCGAGTTTGGCTCATTGGAACGCGAGCCGAGTCGGACTCGCGAGCCAAACTTGTACGTGTATGGGCCCCCAAGGCATGCACTGTCTTCGCTCACACGGAAGCCGGGATCGTGGGTTCGAATCCCACACAGGACATAGATATTTGGTATGTGTATGTGCTTATTCAGCCGGTCACTAGCCGAGCGGTCTAAGGCATGCACTGTCTTCGCTCACACGGAAGCCGGGATCGTGGGTTCGAATCCCACACAGGACATAGATATTTGGTATGTGTATGTGCTTATTCAGCCGGTCACTAGCCGAGCGGTCTAAGGCATGCACTGTCTTCGCTCGCTCGGAAACCGGGATCGTGGGTTCGAATCTCACTCAGGGCATGCATGTTTGTGTGCGTTTTTCTGTGTTTGTCTACAGGTAGAGGCCTTGCGACGAGCTGATCACTCTTCCAAGGAGTCCTACCGTCTGTAAAAATGATCAATGAAACTGAGAAATCAGCCCCTGCTCCAAAGTGAGCGCGAAGAGGAAGAAGAAACATCCTTCCAGCCGCACTACGGCCCTGGGGTTGACTCAGCCTCTAGCAGAAATGAGTACCAGGAATGTTCCTGGTGGGTAAAAGGCGGCCAGCGCGTAAGGCTGACGACCTCACCGTCGTCTGTGAGCCGATTGTCTAGAAAATGTGGGAGCCTCGACGTCTCACAATCCAGTGGGCCTCCGCGGCCTGTTACAGGGATAGCTCTACTTTTTACAAGTTGTCAGTCCCCTTTCGAATACGAGAAAGTGGTTGCGGAATGCGCATGTACGTCTGCCTCGGTAGGGCCTGAAGTCTTGACTGGATGTCATTCATAGTCGGCGTTTAAGTGTTTATACATCAGAGAAGGGAGCCCGGCGAATATGAACAAGATAGCTCCAAAAACTGGGACCTTAAACTGGCCCTCAAGAACTCAGAATATCGATTGCCTCGAAAACGCCTCTATCTGATGAAATGTCCTGAAATAGAACTACGGATGCGGCTTCTTCAGGAACATAACGCTACGCACACTGGGCACTCATACGTGTACACGAATTGTTAACGGTCCGACGAATTTTGTTTTTGTTCGGTATGCCGCAAGTGATAACGGCCTGGCGAGTAGTAATCGATTTCGCTTCTGCTGTAAGTGAGAAAGAGTGTGCAGTTTCTTTGCATCGATTTATTTAGGCTGAGAAAGTTTAATGTTTCGCTGATGTTTGCGTTGTTGCGTGTGGAGGTGACAAAGAGGAACCCGGTGCGTGGGGCTATAATTGGTCCACCCTGTCACTGGTGAGACATAAATACAGGGACTGCCCCTCCAGGTTGGGGGCTGGACGCTAGCTCTACGGCCCCCTTAGGAACTGACCTCGGATTTCTCAGTTTCATGATCATTTTTACAGACGGTAGGACTCCTTGGACAGGTGATCAGTTCGTCGTAAGGCCTCTACCTAAACACACGACAACATAAACACGGAATAAAGACATACACATACCAAATATCCATGCCTTATGTGGGATTTGAACCCACGATCCCGGCTTCCGAGCGAGTGAAGACAATTCATGCCTTAGACCGCTCGGCTACCGTGACTGGCCTCTGTAAAAATTTTCTGTTGCGAAATCCGACAAGTGAAAACCGGAAATCTGACAGAATCTTCTAGGGAAGACTGTGACTCAAAAAGGGCCGTTTGCTGCTGCTGATGATGATAGTTATATGCGTTGATGATCTGTGAGCTAAAAAAGTATGAGAATAAATAAAGGAACCGATCAATCAGTCAACCAAGGAAAGTGTGAGTGATTAAACGAAAATACCAGAAGTTACCGCAACGCGCATGCCTTCCGGTTTTAAGATATTTGATCTGTACTTGAGAGGCGAATTTGCTTTATTCGTTGCCTTTGTGTAGCATCATCAAGCAAAGCGGCTGTGCAGCTTAAGTTTTGCGTTCATTTGTGGGCTGGTACGCCTGACTGAAGATTGTCTTTTGTTCGTTGCAATCCATTGCAAACCCCTGGGCCATGCACGTCACACAACACCTTGGAAGAAAGATTTCGCTGGAATATATTCACGATATCATCGGTTTGTCAGTTGTCCACTAGCGTCGCGACGCTTCCGAGGGCGCGGACGCTGCTTAGTACCCTTTGGACCCCCTATGAGTCTCGGATAGGTCAAGGAAGCAGTTCAACACATGCCACATGCCTGTACGAAATTTACGGAATTATGTACGAAATTAATAATTTTCCCTTAACAGCGACAATGCGATGTATTGAACGTTGTCACGATTTAGGTGTGTGACTGTAGACGGGGTATGAATTGGTGAATGGATTTATTGACTACTTATACACAGTATGCGGAACTACAAATACGTAATTACAGTGCCATCGCTGATTTCCTCACTTTACAGATCAATTTTCCAGCCTTCTATGTCTTCACAAGCCGTTTCCTTGCAACGGCTTCTAACAGTGGAGTTTCTTCAGCTTCACGCTCTCAGGTCCTGTCTTCACAGCCTCCCGTGCAGAACTCAACTCTCAACTAACTCCGTGTAAACTGACAACTAAGTGGGCGACCAAAATTATCTTCCTTGTAACCACTTTGTACGGACTGAGCGGAAAACACAGTTTCCAGCAGTAAATCTAGTGTTGTGTGGGTATTCGTTGCCGTTTGAATGTGTTTACCGATCCGTTGCCTAGAAACGGGTTTCATATCACATTGTTCATTCGCCTATTGCATAGCAAAGGCGATTGTCTCGTTTGTTGCGAGATCTGTGCTTAGCAACGGGCCTGCACGTCAAAATATGAATGGGGATTAGGTCCTTTACAATTTACATTCTGGAGTCCCGGAGTTCGACTCCCTGCTATCCCGCTTAAATTGCTCTTCTTATAGTAGAGAAGTAATTAACATTTTAATCGTACATATCCTACTGCTTCCTCTCTCTGCTCGCTACCTGCTTCACATCGGTTCGTTGCTTGGCTTATTCTTCGATCCTGAAGGAGGCGACATGTCCAAAACCGCAGCTGTGAGAACAACCCCTCTTAAAATTTGTAGCTTTTATACATTGTGATATGACAAAGAGTGCAGCCGTAGCCCGGGGGAAGAAAGAGGTACTGCTGCTAGTATTCAAATAGTTTTGTTTAGTAGGGCTGAATAAACTTTGTGTCTTTTGTTCTCAACCCACTTACAATTTCAAAACGATAGAAGTTACATAAGGCAAGAAAACGTGTTGAAATAGTTATGTATCTGATCCGAATCGAATTTGACATCCCGAAACGTCTGAATTAATGGTAGTCCAGCTCTCCGTAGCACGTAGGAATAATGTTCGTAGACTACCATTGTTAATTCATCACGAAGCCAGCAGGTGGCAGCACGAGCTCTGTGACGAGAAACATCTGAACTGCAATGCCCGTAAGCACGTGCTCTATTGACGTCTCAAGGAGGCGTTGTATGCTCCCCACGAGGAGGGGGCCGAAGATGAGCATAAATATTCCTCTATTAAGCCTTTTGAAAACTTCGTCTGTCAGTAGGCTTATATTTCCATGGTAACGTACAGTTCTATTGTCGTTATGGCGGAACACGAGTCTTCCGATCTTATCGTAATAAATGGAAGTCAGAACAGGGTAGCTCACCTGCTGTAGTGACAGGGCTACAGGCTAGACAACGGGGGTTCGATCCCCGACTGGAAGTTATCTCCACTGCCTCCTCTCCAAACGGACTTTTTCGCTATGGGTAAAGAGGTTGGAGCGCGAAGCTGATCACTCACTTTAATCTAGTGTTGAGGTTAAGAATGCATGGAGATATACCGCCACTGTACAAAGCGTTTTCTTGGTCTTGTGTTTAATTGATCACAGGGGCAACTTTACCTTTTATAAAAGTAGGCTGCAAGAAGCAGTGCCTCATGCGTGTCGTAAATATCTGGACTGTCACGAAACGTCGTTTTTCAACCAGTATAAAACAATAAGTTGTTGATATTCCTTGTTTGTACGTTTTACTTCGCCATTCTTTAAATTTCTTGATGTTGGATTTGAGGTTTTCATTGTAGCCGCCACGAAACATAAAAATGACAAAGAAGAGTACTAATATCTTATAGGATGTGACGCCGTGTAGTCTTGTAGAGGTTTATCGGAATTTTGGAGGAACATACTGCCATAATCTTCGAACCTGAATAGTGAGGCAGTGCGGTATTCCTCCAAAACGTCGGTAAATTTTTACCAGACTACACGGAGTTAAATCACAGAATATTATGCTGTTATAATATCTTAATACTTAATGTCGGTTTCTGTAATAACACTGGCCAAGTAATATTTTTGTATTGCTAGTGGGGTGGGACTAAGTCCCTTGTACTGCGGCCACTTCTGGCCTATTGTACCAGCCCCAGATGATAGGTGAGGGTGATTGAGGAGCAATTGGTGCAATGAAGAGTGGCAGGGAAACCGAAGTACTCGGAGAAAACCTGCCCCAGCGCCACTTTGTCCACCACAAATCCCACTTGACCAGACCCGGGATCGAACCCGGGCCGCCGCGGTGGGAAGCCAGCGACTAACCGCTTGAGCTATGGCGCGGCCTGGCCAAGTAATAAATAACTCACTGTTAATCAGTTGATAAATTGAGAGGGACATATTTTTGCCCTAGGCGTGAGGCATATGGCCCAGCTAGCAGCAGTATGGGCAACTCCACCTCACACGGTCTGCACAGGCGCACTGAGGAACACCAGTCTTGGACTAACTCATACCCGCGGGATCCACGCACTGCCCGGAGCGTGAAGGCGCCCCAGAATAAGGTCCTCCCGGAGCGGATTCCGGGGCAGCGACTCCGGGTCACTGACAATGGGGCCATCCTCCTGAACGGCGGCACAATCAGCGGCCGGCGGCAGACCATATCGCTCGGGGAAAATGCCACTAGGCATGACCAGGTATGCGTTGGCTAGTTTGCTCTGTGCAGTCCGAAACTAACTAACTCCCTTCTTGAGAAGCCACCAATTGTGCAGCCACTCAAGAATTTCCCGAAATTTCATGGAATCCGAAGGTTCATTACCGTGTTCACAAGAGCCCTCCACTGGTCCCTATCCTAAACGAGATCAATCCAATCCATACCATCCCATCCTATCTCTCTAAGATCCATTTTAATCTTGTCCACCCACCTACGCCTTGGTCTTCCCAGTTGTCTCCTTCCTTCTGGCTTTCCCACCAATATCCTATATACATGCATCTTCTCCCCATTCGTGCTACATCCCATGTCCATCTCATCCTCCTTGACTTGATCATTCTAATTATACTTTGTTACAGGGTCGGCCCGGTGATGGGGGGCGTGTGTACCGAACTCGCAGCACGTCTACCCATCAGCACCCGCGGCAGCCCCATTCCGGCGGGAACGGCGAGGGTTTGGGCAAACGGTGTGGGAGCGAACCTGACCTGCGGCTCCCGCACTCGAACCACGTTAGCAGCCCCGCCAAGCAGCGCATATCCAGGTACGGCTGACTCATAGGTGCCATTTTTGGTTATACATGATTTTTTAAAATAAAAACAAGGTTGCATTACTGCCATATTTGGTGGCTTTTTTAATATACAAAAATGAACTTGCACTTGTAGCGTAGTTGGTTGAGGCGCTATGCTACAAGTCGGAAGGTTCTAGTACCAATAAGATGGATTTTTTTTTTTCAATTTACCTAATCCTTCCAGCCGCACTATGGCCCTGGGGTTGACTCAGCCTCTAACAGAAATGAGTAAATGAGTAAAGGGCGGCTGGTGAGTAAGGCTGACAACCTCACAGCCATCTGTGAGTCGAATGTCTAGAAAATGTGGGAGCCTCAACATCTCACAACCTTATGGGCCTGTTACAGGGATAGATTTACCATATTGGAAGTTCTAGATGAAACCATTCATAGCCAGTTCTAAAAGTACTGGCTCCTACTTTTGCCACTGTCAATAACCAGCCCTCTCTTGTTGGCAGGTCCCGCAAGAAGTACAAAGCTCCAGCACCACCCCCAGAGTCGCATGGTCATGACAGCTCTTCACCAGATTCCTCCCACTGGGACACACTAGATCCACCTGCCAGGCGTGCCAGGTTATTCAAGACTCGTGCTGAGACCAAGAAGACGGCTCATGCAGCCAGTAGACGTACACTTGAACAGGAGCATATTGGCAAGACTGTGCCACCTCCATCCATCCAGCGGAGCCTGTCATCCCCAGAGTTTCAGGTGAGGTCCTGATGATTTGTGAACAGTTTGGCTTTCTTTCTGATTGGCTGATAAGTAGCTCTGTCAGTGAAGTACACAACTAGACCTCTGTGAGATTTCAGGTTCTCATGGTACATGAAGAGTGTGGTTTAGTATTCCTGTAAGTGTCTTTGCATGACTTGGTCAAACCGAACAGTGCTAAATGGAAACAACAGCAAATCTGTTTTGTGTATGAGAGAAAAAGTATCTTTTTCTTTATCAATGCATTTCTGCCACCTATGGGATTCAGGCAGAGCTGCTTCAAGCTGCGCGCAGGCTCCGTTCAGGGCCCCCCGCAACAGTGCTCCGGGAAGCCCCTGTAGGGGAGGTGACAGTGAGGAGAGCAGGATCAGGCAGAGAGTCCATTGCAGAACGAGAACTAGCCTTGCCACTTCGGAGTGTGAACCCTGTCCCTCAGCTGCCACCACGCAAGAAGCCAGAACCCCCCAAAAAATCTGGTGCACACTGGGAAATGTAAGTTTATTGTAGGAGTCCCCAGGATTTTCAAAGGACCATAAATATACTGATAAACAAAGTTCTAGGAATATTTTTCAGCCGTGTGTATGAGTGCCTTCTGTGTGCAATTCATAAGAGAAGGTGTATCTGTCCCATGTCCATTGATGGAGTCTCTGGCTGTTCTCTTCTTGAGAGTCTTCACAAGTTTCCTCTCCATTTAATGAAGCATAACAATATTTTCAACCTAGTGAGTGCCAAGTAACCTCTGCTGTTGCTGTAATGTCATTAAATAACCTAAAATTCAACTAATTTCACAGCCATTTGTTTCTACCAGTAACTTCTCATGACTTGCTGAATAATGAACTCACCCAGCAGCTAGGTCCTTGAGGAGTTCTATCTTCTGGAATAAAACCCTGTGTAGTCCACTGGAGGAACATGTCACCTCCATGTTCGGGGTCAAAAGAATTAAGCCAAGCAAGAAACTAGAACGAAGCAGAGCAGTCTGCTGAAAGTTTGGGTTTGTATAAGAAAACTGGGGAGACCTGCAAGACAACTAACAATTAATTCATGAAGAAAACATTTACTTTTACAAACTTTCCTGTGCTCTGAATGTAATCATAATTCTGCTAACAACATATTGTTTTATATTAATTATGGTAATAAAATGTATACAAATTTGTTAGACTCTTTGAAGTTCTTAAGAACTTCCATTAATGATTAATATGACACTAAATTATATATAATTGTAAGAATACACATCCCCCTGTGGTGGGACTATTGTTTCTTGACAAAACAATCAGTAGGACACAAGGTACAGAAGTTGGAGAATCATTGGTTTCAACAGCCAACCATTTCCTTTCCATCTTAATAGGGAACAGATTTATGAGTACCTCTATGTTGCAGCATTCCTCCAGTGGCCACTTTGCAACAAGAGAGGCACCATGGCGTGCCCGTCAAGACATTCTATTTTGGAATGGAGCAGGGCGAATGTGAGGCAGTGGACCGGTTTGCAGCTAGCTTGCGGGTGCCACATGCACCTTGTAGCCTTTCCAGCGAGGAGCCTGAAGAAGAACACGTTGGCAGCATTGCATTGCAGCTAAGGCCAACACTGCCCAAGAAGCAACTTGAGATACCTAGGTTCTCACCTACAGCAGCCTGGCGCCTGCTGGCCACACTGGATGCACATCAGCCTGGTGCCACATCGCCAGCCCAGACAGAAGAAGGCTCCATCCTGCTGGAGGAACGCATCCAAAGGCTGTCCCGCCCTGTGGCACCACCCCCTCTGCAGCAGGTATGAGAAGGAAGAAGAGTGAACGATAAATGAAGCAGTGAACTAAACGTTGCATAGACCAATTAGTAAATATGTGTGCAGGTGTAGAAGGAAATGAAAGCATTGGCGAGAAAATGAAGAAATAAATGTTTAAACGTAAATGCTTAGCTGAAAGAACAAATAAAAATTTGAGGCATGGAAAATTATGAAGCTTGGTCTCTGACATGAGGGGAAGAGCTCAGGGAGCTGAGGGGTGAGAGTGGAAGCCTCCCAGAGCTATCAGACGGTAACGGGACTCACTGTGCTGGTGAGGGCCAGCAGCAATTTAACTGACTGATGGATCGACCAAAATAATAGGAGTATGGAGAGAAGTACATAATGAGGAGCTTCATAACCTGTACTCCTTGCCATATGTAACTGGAATGATCAAGTGAAGGAGTTGGCATGTAGCATGCGTGGCGGAGAAGAGGCATGCTTATGGGATTTTGGTGGGAAAGCCAGCAGGAAGGAAACTGTTAGGAAGTCCTAGACAAATTTGGAATATAAGATGGATAGTAGAGAAATAGGATGGGGTGGTGTGGGCTTGACTTTCTTGGCTCAGGATAGGGATCAGTTGAAGGCTCTTATGAACTGGTAATGAAGCTTCAGTTTCCACAAAATGTTGGGAAATTCTTGAGAAGTTGAGTGACCGGCAGCTTCTCAAGAAGGACTTGACTCCATGGAGTTAATAAGTTGGTCCGTTAGTTAGGCAAGAATGGAAGATTAATGAATGATAGAATGTAAGTGTCAGTAATGAAAAATGTGTTGGTCAGTGGACTGAAGAATGTCTGTCATTTATTTATTTGCACTTCTTGATGCCGCCAGAAACTCCGATTATGTAGTGTTCAGTGGAATGCCGATTAATGACTAATGAAGTAGTGAGGATGTGGAAGGAGGTGGTCATGGCCTAATTTGTGGTACTTTCCTGGCATTTGCCCAGAGGGGCAGAGAAAACCCACAGGAGACCCCAGTCCGTATAATTGGTAACCTGCCTGAGATTTGAACCAGACACATTCTGAGTAAAGTCGGAAGTGTTACCACTTGAGACAGTCTGCTTGTTGAAGACTGCAGGGCTGAATAATTAAACTGAGTCACTAATGAATAAATAGAGAAAGAAAGTGTGAATAAACAACAGCACAAAAAGTTGCATTAGTGATTAAACAACATTTCTTAGATAAATAAAGAATGAAGCTTGAGATTTGAGGTTCTGTCAGTCGTGGATAACAGGACTGCTGTCTGTTGGGACGTGAGACTGTGCAGGGTGCTAGAAAAGTAGCAGTATTCCAATTAATTAGTGAAATGACCGCATGGGTAAATAAATACAGTATTTTATGAAATGACACACATTAAGTGAAGTAAAGTACTGACCAAAATATGAAAATTATGAATGGAACAACACACACAGACATGGGCACATATAACTCATATGTTATTAGTGGCTAACATTTGTTGCATAGATGGCCAGAGCATGATGCAGACCATTTTCTTCTAGGTCTATTTAGAACCAAAATTTGGAAAATCACTGATTCTTTCCTTGAAGCCACTGTAGGCTTCATATCATAGTGCATAGACACAGAGATACATTTAATTTTTATTAACATTTAAGGTCCTGCAGCAACAGGCTCCAAGAAGTAGCCATGACAAATCTGGTGACTCTGGTATTTCTGGAGATGCAAGTCCAGTTGGGATCCATGAGGACCCTTCTGAAGCAGCAGCACCACTGTGTAGGAAGCCAATGGTCCAGGCAGGGTCTGTGCGTCCACTTGTGATGGCCTGGACCCCACAGCAGGACCTGGAAGAAGATGAAGAGGATTCCAGCTCTGATGGGGGAGTGGAGGTTCCTCCTGCCACCAGCGCTGGGGCTGTGCAACCCAAGTTCTCCCCACGCTCTCACGTCTTCTCCCTCTCTCTGCCTCGCGATGACAGGCTGTGTCTGTCTCTGTATGCGGACAATGCTGATGTTATTGGCTCCAAGGTGAGCTGGCATCAGTTGTCATTGCAATCTTCATGCAAATTTTTGTGTCCTTTCTTGGGCTCGACTTTACATTCAGATATATTTTTTGCAATTCAGTTGCTGAATTAATCCAACATCCATGGGCTGAACATGGACTCAGACCAGATCTCAGGGTAATGGCTTTCCTGGCAGGATTTTGCCTCGGTTAGGAGTCTAAATACTGTCCAATTCCTTGTATCCATCTTTCAGCAATCGTCCTATCATCTGACACTTTAGAGTCTAGATGCAATCTCGTTAAACTACCAACTATAAAAATAGAGTCATGTAAATCATATCAAGTCCAGTTCGATGCAAGTCTAATAATATTGTTAAAGAGAGAGATAAGTTGGCCATACTGGTTTTCCATGTGTTTAAATAAATGGACTTGGCCTTTAATGGACTCAGTCCAGTGTTAGACTTACATCTGACAGTTAGGAAATTAAATAAATTTGAATTGCAGCTTGTGGGGAATTACTTGTGAGTCATCCTGCAAGGATTAAAATCCTGTCAGGTGCGCAGATATATTTCAGTTATGTAGGATATATTGGCAGAACTGCATATTAATTAAAATGACAAATTATAGGAATAGTATCAGTTGTTGGTATCAAGAGGGCGTTGTTCAATTCTTCTGTTGTCGCTGTTAATTGTGAACTGTGGACATACATACAAATTAATATAGAATTTTCAGACTAATGCAGTTGTGTGTAGTGTGTTTTTAAACTGATAAACTGGAGAACATAATTACTAAACCCTTATTGCTTAAGTCTTCTATATTGTAATGCTGTGTAGTTTGCTAGATGTGCACTGGCAGTCCTCTGAAACATCAATGGACTCCTTCCAACAGACTCAGCATCACAACTCAGGAGATTGTACTCTTCATAGTAACTGTTATGAGAAATTCAGATTCAGCAATATTGTTCTTATTCTGTTAAGCTATAATTTCAATAAGCAACTGAAGTAAAAACTCAAACATTTATTTTTCATAATTTTTTAGTACAATTATATTATTACTTTTTGGTAGATAAGAAAGCGAAACAAATAATTTCTTTTAAGTATCCAGAAAATATTTGAAAACATATTCTAAGGGTCCTGATGATGATGTGTAACACTTAGCGTTACTGGTTGTTTGTACTTTGTCCATTGTCTGGTGTTCTAAAGAACACTAAAGAACACAGTGTTTCAGAAACTTGATCTGTTTCTGTCATCAGAAACCCTCACCTGAGGAAAGAAATGGATCCAGTTTTCAAAATGCTGTATTCTTGAGAATACCAAACAATGGACAAAGTCTGAAAACTCAATAATCAAAATGTGAATATATGTTTTATATTTTAACCCTCCTAGTGTCTCATCTGCCCCACTCCCTCTGAATGTCTTGGGAAAAGTTGCAGCTCTAGGTGAGGGGCATACATACATACATACGTACATACATACATACATACACACATTGTTCTGTAAATGAATTGATTGCCCCATGTTTGCCGCAGCTGTGGTGACTGTTCAGTGCCATATGATTGCAGTGAGTATCATGATCATTGGCTAAATCATTCAAAAGTTTTCATAGGTGTATCAAATACACCATTGTCAGAACTATTAAGAATCTACCCGGAATAATACTTTTATGTATCTCTGGTAATGTACAAAGTCTAAAGTGATGCTTTTGAACAATCTGTTATTCCTGTTCAGATGGTACCACTGCAGATGCGAGACCAGCGGGAAGCACAGGCCTCCTTCAACAGCCTCACAAAGTTGCGTCGCTCAGTATCTGGCATCCTTGGGGCAGCGCTAGGTAGTGTCAGTGCAGGAAGTCCCACAAGGGGTGAACCTCTTGATGAAAATTGGCTTCTTAGCCGCAGTGTCCCCAACTCCCTGCACTTGGAAACCACCTGGGGAGCTCAAACCAGCAGCCCCTCATCTCCTGACCAGGATATTCGTCCCTCCTTTTCGTATCTTGCTTCAGGTGGCCATGTTATGTACCTTCCTGAGTATCAAACCCAGTGCCAGACTTCTGCTGAAGACATGTCATTTGGCCGAGGGAGGTCCCACAGTGCAGGTGTAGCTGCTAGTAATCTCCGAGCCTCGGTGCCACTTTCAAAGTCATGTGACAACATATCAGCAGCATCAGAAATGCGTCAGCTGGGTAGGACTCCATCCCCTGACAGGAGGAATGTAGTGGAGGTACCTCAGACAACACCTGCGCCTGACAAAAGAGGCAAAGGCAGACGTTTTACTTTCCAGAGCACAGTGAGGCAAATTGAACGCCGCAGATTAGCCGAGAAACTTTCCAGGGAAGCAGAACTGAAAGAGAGGCAGCGTCTGGGAGAGTTAGAAGCAATGCAGAGAGTGGAAGAAGAATTCCAAAGGAAGCGAGCACGTGAAAAAGCCAGCATCCGCCAACAACTTCGGCTGTTCAGCTTGGATGAGAACATGTACTCATCACTGCCATTAGGGTGGGGGGACACAAGGGCTGATCCGGATGGGGCTCCTTCATCAACACCTTCCCCAGCATCTGGGGCATCATCTGGACCATCAGGGGCAGGCAAGGCACCGAGACAGACTGCTTCCACCCAAGTGCTATCAGAGTTCCATCAGCCTAGCAGAGAATACAGAGAGTACAGGCAGTCCAGGTAAGTTTGGAGCAAAGATAGTGATTATATAATGATAGTTCTTTAACTGTGCAGCTAGTATAGAGTTGAATGCATGGAAAATACTGAACAATGGAAGCTGTAGCTTGAGATGAGAATTATCAGTTTGGGGGGGGGTGCTATTTAACAATGCTAGATTGTACTTGTAGGATGACAGACGAATCGTAAATCAAAACAGACTTGAGAAAGAAGTGGTCACGTCCTAATCAAGGTACTATCCCAACTTTTTCCTATAGGGACTGAGGGGAAAAGCAGGAAGAACCTTGGTAATGATAGTCAGTATTCTGACCAAGACTCAAAGCAAGCACATCCCAAATACAAGCCCAATGCAATGCTTGTAGGCTAGTCTGTTCAATTGTGTTTCCATGTTGAATTTTTGGTTGGCATTCCACAAGATCCATTCAGATCTCTCCAGTAATTTAACAGATATAGCAAATGGACAAATGAATGTGTTCTCTTCTGTATGTTCACTTCATGCAAAGGCTGCATAGTAAATGCAGTAGACTCTTGATTATCCATGGGAATGCCATCCATTTTCCAGATTAATCATGGGAATTTCAGAAGCCCTTAGTTACTAACCGCAGTGTCCTCTAATGATTTATGCATTGCCAGTTATCCCTGTTACTGCTGCCCTGCACTACTGCAGATAATCATCAGTTTACTGTATAAATACAGTAAATACTCATTATAATGGACTACTACTAGTGGGGTAGCGTGTCCATTATTGCTGATGTCCGCTACAGACGAGTGAAGGGGTATTCATGGAAGTACACCCCAGTACACACAATAAACATATAAACACATAATGTGATTACATAAAGTTTTTTTTTTATACGAGGGTTCTCTTTTGTTTTAAATAGTGTTCTAACTACAAAACCTTCTTAGTTCCTCAAGATGTCAGAAATTCAGTTGTCGACGGTTGGATTTGGTCTATTATAACCAGGACTCACTGCGTATGTATTTTTATGTGTTGACACTGATAACCTCCATTGCCAGGTACCTGGACTCTGGGCCAGAATCACTGATGCCCCACATAGAGCCAAAGCGCACCACTGTGCACCATCCGCAGGTAGTGTACGACATGCCGAAGAGCACCCAGGTGTATGTGGCACCACGTCACCGTGGTGACACCGAGATGTCCACCCCGCGTTCTTCGTCATCAGACAACTACCGCAGGGACTTTGCCCTTGGTGCTCGACCAGGACGTTCCCTGGCTAGTTCTGATTCAGAGCTGTCCCAACCTGCCACTCGGCCAGTCTCTCGACGTCAGCATCGAAGCAGGTGTAGAATAGTTTTGTTTACGGTCTACCATATTTAATAACACTGGCAGAATTTCTTATAACTTGGGGTGGCACTTGGGCTTATGTTGGCCCTGTCAATAATCTTCATAATTTCATTGTGTATTATGAAGTTCTGTTTCAGTGTGATCATAACCTCACATGTACATACAGAGGGTAACTAACCTACATTGTATTGTCACAGGGTATAACGGTGGTGGCAGAGGCTGCCTAACTTAATCTAGTCAACTCAATATTAACATCGTCACTTGGAGTCATGACGCAACACAGGTTTGTCCATTAATATGTAATATTTGAAAGGCATGTAACTCCATGTTACCTAAAATTATGATGCTTTTGTGTACATTTGTAGGAATCCTTTTGTACAAATTGCATGAAATGAATGCATAATTTAGTGGTCACTTCTGTCTTTCTACCCTTCAACATGTTCCGTTTCTGGAACTACTGACTGTATGTTGTAAAATTTGGTATTGGGTGTCTGGAACTAATAAGTTAACATGTCTATTTAATTTTGGTCCATATCAGTCAAACCCCTACCTTATTTTGTAATTCTTATTCTTGTAGTGGGGTGAGATCAGGTCATTTCAGACTCAGGCAGCAAGCAGCCTGTTTTACCTGCTCCTGATGACAGATGAGAGAATGGAACATTAAGGGAATGATAATTGGTAGGGGAAAACTGTAGTACTCAATGAAGAACCTACTGTGTTGCCACTTTGTCCACCACAAACCTCACACGGACTGCCCTGTGATTGAACCCAGACCTCTGTGGTGGGAAGCCAGCAACTAACTGCCTGAGCTATGGTAGGGCCTAACCCTTGCCTTATATGACTCTGAAGTCATATTTACTAGTTGGCATTGTGGCCCTGGAGTCACAGCACCACACAGTCACACTGGTGGGTAGTGTCTGCCACTAGAGCACACAACCTTGGCCGTGGTTCAGTAAGTGTGGGCAGGAGGGCAAGAGGGCTTTCCTACTACACAACGTGCAATTTGTTGACAGTAGCTGTGTGCCATTCCTTGGGATGGTGCTATGTTTTTAGGGAGGGTACTCTTAGACCACGCGATGGTGAGGGTCAAGCTCACAGATTAGCAGTACCGGCAGATGTACCAGCATTCTGGGGGAACTTACTCACTACATATAGACTTGAAATGATTCTGGAGATGGTGTATACTGTACTTCTTTTGGCTTATTTTGATTGTGATTGAGACTAGCTCTTTCTAACGGGCCCAACTGAGTAGGTTTATCCTTCCCTATCCACCTGAAGACGGAGACAGATCCAGTCTTCAAAACGTTGTGGTCTTTTGTCTTTTACATACCAGACGATGGGTGAAGTCCAAAATAAGCCCAAAGAATTACTCACTACATGCAATGAAGTCCTCCGGCAAAGATCCACATAGAGGTGCAGTTACTTTTCAAAGTTCTGGCGATTTTGGAGACAGTATCTGTCTTAATCACCAAGGATGATGTCACAAGTGAAGCAGCTGTATGCCATATTTATACTCACAGAGTATGCTCTTGGCTGTTACAACATGGGCCCCACTGGGGCAACAGTTGGTTGCTGAAGAAGACTTCATTGCATGTAGTCACCATGGAAGCTTCAGTTATATAATACTGCCTCCTGCAGGTTCCTTCAAACTAGAAATGTCATCCCACATGACTGTGATCTTAATACTTCCATCATGGGATGCTAAACAGAGCCTGTCAATGTGACCTCCCTTCTTGAAGAGGAATGTTTGTCTGTAGGTCGGCCAGTCCAGCTTCTGGTGACCAGAGCGCTTTCTCCAGTCCAGAAGAGGTTCCAAAAACTGATAAGATAGTATCATGCAGTGAAGACAGAACGATGGAATCTCAGCTGGCAAAGGTATAAGAAATTGAGGCAAAGACTGAAATCTTCTGAAATATGATGCCACGTTGTTTTGTCGATAGGTACGACAGCAGTGTTCTATAAAATGTTTGTACCCATCCACCAAACAACACAGTATCAATCTCAGGAGATCATAATCTTGATTGTAAATTAAATAATTGTAAGAACTGTGATATTGTTGAGTGTGAAGAGCATTTGGTGTATTGTGGTTGATCACTGTTACAGGCCTTTCCACCGAGTCACTTCAGCCTCACAGCCGTGAAGCCATTCGTCCGGAATAACAAGGGCTACCGACCCATTGTGTTCAACCCTGGGGCTACCTCGTCCCACAATGTTGCTCAAACTGTTAGCTAGAATTAAGGACAATCAGCATAGTTTACTTTAAAATAATGGGCAAGTATAGGTTATTGTATAGTGACAGTGTGTTCCAAAAGAAATATTCTTGTATGTTGAGCCATTCAGGTGCACCAGTAGTCAACAACATTCTGAATGATTTTCTATGTATGAAGTTGCCAACAACTGAAAGTGAGAAATCAGGATTGTCTGTTGTTCACCAATTAACTGCAGATATTCAGATTATGGATTTCTGCCATTATATAAAACACGCAGGGCTCCAGTGAAGCCAGAGCACAGCCCTGCCACTTCTTTTAATATTAAATTCTTATAGTTTTCATACAGTTTATTATAAATCACATTACATCATAAAATAATATCAAATTACTCAGTACTGTGGCATATTTTGGCTCTCAAAGAATAACAGTTACCCCTCATAATGGATCTTTGAGACACCAAACATGTTGGGGTATGGCATGAATAAATTTTATGTTGCAACTTGATGGTGTCTGCTACATTTTATTGGGCCATAATGCATTGCAGTTTTACACAAATCAATGTGAAAATTGTTATAGCTTAATTTTATGTTAATTTTTCTGTTTTTTTTTTTTTTGCATCATGTTGTGTTTAAAATTCCAAGTACTAGGGCTGTTGACACAACAAAATAAATTAAATTTTAATAAAATCTATTAAAATCAAAATGTCGACGGTTTTAATCAGTTTTATTGTTTCATTCGACCACTACATATTTCAGCCATTTACTTGTTCTCTTTAAATGTGTTTTGAATATAGCAAGTCAAAAATCCAGTTTCTGTGAAAGAGTGGCCTGGCCCAGCAGGTAAAATCCCAGTATGGGGGCATGGTAGTAAATGTGTAAATGTGTTAAGGATCACCCTAGTTCAGAAGTCATGCTGTACACCTCCTTATCATTATATCATGGTTGCCTGTATTTATCAATTTATATCTCAGAAAATATTGATGTATATTGTTAAGAGTTATTTTTGTATTTAGAGCACTTGTACTATTTGTGCTTATAATTGCAGGTGTAAAATTGCTGCTATGAGAAACATCTGACTGTTTATCAGAGCATTTTATGCAATGTTCACTTTGTGCCAACGAACGTACTGGAGAGTCACGAGGTTGGGATCACTGTGACACGTGGTCATGGTTAAACATCCAGGTCATTAGGAAAACTTAAGAGAAATAAGAGGTCCTCAAACTATGAAGATTTTGTCTTCTGAGATGAGACACCACAGTCTGGTAGATTATCTAGATTATCAACAGTTCACAGGAGCCTGCTGCCTCCATCTTCAGGGTAGAAGAATAAGATGAGCACGAAGAAAATGGCATGGACACAGGGGGAGGGGGAACTGGGGCAAGGGCCCTGAGCTCAGGATCGAAACTTAAGTTGGAGACAGAGCAAGTCTCAGAAATGCTGGCTTTTAGCTCATCCATGACACAGCTGATCATTCAGGAAGATTTTTCTATTTTTATGTGCATGGAATTTTTCTTGCAACTTGGGATGTGAATCATGCAGCCAAGGTGGCAGGAATGCATACAAGACAGGGTCTCATGCATGTTGATTACTGAATGTAAAGAAAAATTTGGGCATAAAGCATTTAGTTTTTCATAAACTTGTGAGAAATTACTAAAACCTGAACAGTTTATGGACATTTATGTTAAAATAATAATGGCAGATGTTCTAATCACTGCATTTATTTAATCATTTTCTTAAAATGGTGCGATTTTCTGAACTACATAAGCAACAAAACAGAATGTTTCACATTTCTTAAAACTACATTTGTCCTACTCTTCACTTCCTGAATATAGGCTACACACAAACAATTGAGACAGAATGTTTTCTGACTTGTCCAAGTGTCACTGTGATGATGAGTTCTCTCTCTTATTGCCAGTTGCAGGAGGCACTGGAAGTTTAACTTACATAACAGATACTCCTGTACAGTGCAGGTTATCTCAGGGTTTGGGTTCATTAACAACTGTCTGTCATGCACCGTGCAATAATGTCAGTATTTCTCTTAAGAGTAACAGAGAAGTGTTCTATTACTGTGAGACTTGAGGTTCTCACAGTGGTGGAACTCTTCTGAAATGTGACACAATGTAATTTGGTAGACAGGTACCAGCATTTCACAGGAACATATTTGGCTTCATGTTCAGGGTGGAGAAAACTGCTAAGGATATAAGTAGGAGATCGCTGGGATCGGGGCTATGACCAAACAAATAGGAACCAATGACTGTTATTTTACAAGGGTAGAAGCTAAGGCGGAATTTCTCTTACTTTATGACGTTTGCCTTGGCCTGTGTTACCTGGTTTCCTTAACCTTAAGCTTCTTAATTTTCTTATCTTTTACAAAACGGCCTCTATAAGGACCACATGTTCATATTTGTTTCCGTATAGTTGTGATCCCTGATGCACAGTGGACCTGGCAGTGGTTCAAGTTTTTGGGGTGAGTGAAAGTTGCCCCCCCCCCAAGTCAGTACCAATTGTTGTGGTCCTGTCCTCTCGTGTCTATCGTTACCAATCGTACCTGCATGGCTTACTCTTCTATCCTGCAGAAGTGGGCAGCAAGTGCCAGAGACATTGGCTTTCATCTACAGAATTACAATGTGTCACATCCAAGAAGACAGTTATCTTGTTCTGCTATTGTATATATGATAGAAGAATTTTAATAAATAATATAATGTATTATTATTAAATATCAAGTAAATATTAATATAAATAATGTGTACAAGAAGTGTCTTGTAAATACAAGCGGATTAGGGATACTGACGTGTTTCCATTTACTTTCCTATTTGTTCCTTGTTTGACTTAATTGAAATGTGTATCATGAAACATCCTGGGGTAAAGGGTGGCTGGCTCGTAAGGCTTACAGTCTCATTGCCATCTGTGGGCCGATTATCTAGAATACGTGGGAGCCTCAACGCCTCTCAACCCTATAGGCCTTCACAGCCCATTTTAGGGATAGTTTTACCTATTTTTTTTACACCAAAGGTTGGTATGGTCCATCTGTGGCTACCTTCAGTAAGCGTCCATGTTCAAGAAGATCTCTGGTGTGGCAACTTTTGTTCCCACTGTATGTTTGAACTAATTCTGAAACTGTGAATCTTATGGACAGTTGGTATGACTGCTTGGAAGATGGATCAGCCCATTCACTGTGAAGTTGAGACAAGTGGCGATATTTCATCAGGGCCAGTTTGCTGCATGTGTCTGCCAGTAACTCATCATGAAGTTGGAATTTTGCAGAACACATATATGGCCTTCACTGCAGTTTACTTGTCGCTTGAGTAGCAGCACTAAGAGGGATGAAGGTATGATACATGGGAGAGAAGAGGGATTTGCGAGGAAAGCCAGAAAGGAAGAGACAACTAGGAAGACATAGATGTAGATTTACTTACTTACTTACTCATGGAGCTGAGCGCTTCTGGAGGAGCCGTCAATTCTGCAGCTACTCAAGAATTTCCCACCATTTTATGGAACCCAAAGGTTCATTACCGTGTTCACAAGAGCCCTCCACTGGTCCCTATCCTGAGCCAGATCAATCAATCAATACCATCCCATCCTATCTCTCTAAGATCCATTTTAATATTGTCCACCCACCTACGCCTTGGTCTTCCCAGTGGTCTCTCCCCTTCTGGCTTTCCCACCAATATCCTATATGCATTCCTCATCTCCCCCATTCGTGCTACATGCCCTGCCCACCTCATCCTCCTTGACTTGTTCATTCTAATTATACTCAGAGAAGAGTAAAAGTTATGAAGCTCCTCATTGCGCAGTTTTCTCCAACCTCCTGTCACTTCAGCTCTCTTCAGTCCAAATATTCTCCTCAGTACCCTGTTCTCAAACACCCTCAGTCTATGTTCCTCCCTTAATGTCAGAGACCAAGTTTCACACCCATACAGAACCACAGGCAAAATTATAGTTTTGTATATTCTAATTTTTGTTTTTGGACAGCAGATGAGAAGACAAAATGTTCTGGACTGAATGGTAGCAAGCATTACCCGGGTTCAATCTCCTCTTAATTTCCTCCTGAATCAGGTTTTGATCTGTTATCGTTCTTCCCAAATATCTGAATTGTGCCACGTTTTCAAAACATCTGTTTCCTATCTTTATATCATGATTTTGCCCTGCATTTTGGTGAGGAGACAGCAACATATACTTAGTTTTCTCAGTGTTTACTTCTAGACCAACCTCTTTACTTGCGTCAATTAAAGTTTGTGTGTTTTCTTTATGGTATCTACATTATCACCCAGTAGATTCACATCATCGGCATAGGCCAACAGCTGATGTGTCCCGTTTAATTTCAGTCCCACCTGGTCTCCCTGGACCTTCCTAATGGCATATTCTGAAGCAAAGTTGAAAAGGAGTGGTGATAAAAGTATCTCCTTGTTCTAGGCCATTCTGGATAGGAAATTTATCAGACAAATGTTTACCTACATGGACTTTAATATATGTTTCGTTTAAACACATTTTAATCAACCTGACTAGTTTCATGGGTATCCCAAACTCTATCAGAATATTGTACGATACTTCCCTTCTAACTGAATCATAGGCTTTCTTGAAGTCTTGTAGATATAATTAATTAATTAAGCACCATGCCATAAAGACATAACTGCAGGTATAGCTCTACCATTCTTGATCTTGGCACTAGATGAAGGTGAGAGGTCAGCTTCATGCCCCCACTACTGGGGAGAGTGTCCCTGGTACCTGCTGTCCATAGCCTATTGTTATATCAGCCATGTTACCCCAGCTTTCTAGATGTAGGTGGTAGGATTATATTAAAAATGGATCACAGAGAAATGGGATGGTGTGGTATGGACTGGATTCATCTGGCTCAGGACAGGGACCAGTTGTCGGCTCTTGTGGTCATGGTAATGAACCTTCAGGTTTCATAAAATGTTTGGGAACTTCTTGAGTACTCAGCACAATGGAGTTAGTTACAGGTAAAATCACAATGATACTGTGTTATTTCTTTTAATGAACCTTACAACTGGCTGTTGGTCACATTAGGAATAGCATTCCTGTATCTCTACAAGAGCATATATTTGGAAAATAATTTCAGCAGCAGAATCTGACATCTTTTACTTACACTTACAGCTACCCATTTGAAATTTGTCAACTCTTCTTCAGAAATCCTGCAACATATAAGTGATGTTAATGTGTTTCCTACTTATCTAATTGTATCCAGTACAGTGTTACAGCAGTGTGAGAAATTTTAACATCTTCACTGCCAATCTCATGATCTGGCAAGTTGAAACTGACTGTATGCTGGTACCAAACCTGTCGAATGACTGAAAGGCTATTGCCACTGTGTACCTAAATTGAATTTCCTCCTGTATATATCATTCAAATGCAGAGAAACTTTCGAACTGCATCTTATCAACAGTTGAAACAGTTCAAGTATATAGCAATTAGTGACTGTTTTTCATTCTTTCATCTTCTGTTACAAATACAGTACGATCATAATCCATTTTTCATGGAAAAATGTCTGGCCCAACAAACAAAACTCCAGCAAGGAAGTGAGATTATGACTGTGTTAATTTTGATTGTTGCTGTAACCTTTAAGAAATGGCACCCAGTCATGCAGAGATCAGCAAAGTTACCATGAAGTTACCTGTGCGGTGAGAAACAGAACAATATGATTACACACATGCTAATGTGCTGAGTGGACACCTTGGTGGAGTATGAGATTAATTCTATCACTGAATGCCTCGTCACATATATCGCACAAATATGGTCCTCCTCCGGTATGTTCAAAAACGTGTGTTTCTAGCTGACTCTTCTGGTTGAACGATTTGCTACAAATCTTGCAAGAGAAAGGCTGATGTCCACTATGTAAGCGAAGGTGTATTTTAAGGTAACCTTTCCTAGAAAATGACTTTTTACACAAGTCACACGTGTAAGGTCGCTCTTGGGTATGCATACGTGTATGGTCTGTTAGGTGCTGCTTGCGATTAAACGACTTTCCGCAGAATGCGCACACATGAGTTCGTTTAGATGACTGTGATGATCCACGGTGATCATGCTCACACACATGTATTGGAATATTCTGAAACAACAAAACAAATTTAAACCAGAAATGTTGAAAAGCAACAGTCTGAAGATAATGCTTGTAACTCAATCCCGATGAACTGAACTTTTTTTTTTTTCTGACATGGAATTACATGTGCCATGTCCTTATGCATTTATGCTCCCACTCATAAGTCCACAATTCATTCAGTGCCCCCTGGATTTGATGATCCCTAAACCAGCACATGGGTGCTGTAGGAAGCCACAGAGCTGAGAGATAAATTTAACATTGTTGTCAAATTTTAATTTGAATCTCAGCACCAGTATGTGCAGCCACAAGATCAAGTTGTCATGAGTACAGCAAGAAAATTACGACAGAACAGAAGTTGCAAAGCAAAACTTAGAAGTGGCAACATGGCTGGCCAAAACATGTATTGGCCAATGCTGTTTCACAGCAGACAGCGCTGAGCACTTATATGAGGAACCATCAAACACTGTGGGACTGCAGGATGTTACCGAGAAAATGGACGATTTTGGAAACCAAGTAAGGACAATTAAAACTGAAGCAGATGTTACAACTTGCCTCTGGCTGATCTGTAATTATGGATGCAGGGCTTTCATCAAGTATCATTTCAAACAGCTCCCCATGTCCGAGCGAAGGCAACGGAGCATCATCGTCTGAATCAGGTTGTGGCTTGATGTCACTTGTGATGAACTGCAAAGCAATGACAACAAACACATTAGCCACAGTTTGGCTGATCAGTCTTACTGGACTGTTCTGATTACAATGTTCAAATCAGAATTACTCCTTCCATCTGCTGTATGGTCTACTTCTAACTTTTGGTATCTTCTGGTAAGATCTTTCAGTGATTCTGCTTTGATCCATTACTTCCAGGCCTGTTTCATATTCAACTTTTTCGTGTATAATGTTAAACAAAATCAGTTTTTGCTTGGTATGGTCTGCTTTCCAGTAGCCACCAGCATGCCTCATGAACCACATTTCAGCTGTATTTTGTTTACTTACTTATAGATCACTGTGGTCACAGTGCAAGGGCCAAGAAGGCCCACCCCTTATATATTCATTCATTCATACTTAATAAAAGGCCTTGCCATAGCTCAAGCGGTTAGTCGCTGGCTTCCCATTGCGGCAGCCCGGGTTCGATCCCGGGTCTGGTCAAGTAGGATTTGTGGTGGACAAAGTGGCGCTGGGGCAGGTTTTCTCCGAGTACTTCGGTTTCCCCTGCCAATCTTCATTCCATCAACTGCTCCAGAATCACACTCGCCTATCATCTGGGGCTGGTACAATAGGCCAGAAGTGGCCGCAGTACAAGGGACTTGGTCCCACCCCACTAGCAATAAAGAAAATACTTAATAAAACATCATTCAGTACACTGATCCACATAGTAATGTGGTACAAACATTACTTATACTATTCTGACTGAGGTTTTCACAATTTTCCCCAGTCCCTCCAGCTTTCAGCCACATAACACGGGATTTAGTATATGTATATCCTATAAGATTTGAGGTTTTCATGGCGGTGACTACAAAAAATGCTGTCTTCTGGGTGCGGCGCTGTGTAGATATTGTGCAAACCAACGTTTTGGAGGAACGTATCGCCTCCGTCTTCAGGGTATAAGAAAAATCCACAAGCGAGGAACTAGCGTGAGCAGGTGACTGCATGGTTCACACAATATCTAAATGGCATCACACCCAGAAGACGGTATTCTTTATGTATATCCCATTTTCCAGAAGATAAAGGCTGATATTTTGCTCATAAGATGGCACAGATGGATGGACAATGTCAATACTGAAGCAGGCACTGTTTCTTAGTTGATGCAATGAACTGTACATTAGTTTGGCGAATATATATTTCGAAGTAGCTTCACAGTTACTGCTGGTGTCATACCAACTGGAATGCAGATATGAGACACAAAATACCTTAATGCCAGGCATGGAATGAGACCCACCTCAGTCTCTGTCATCACCACAGGCTCAAGGTACTTTTCCTGTTTTATGTCGAGGACCTCATGTTCATTGTGGGTTGATAACGGATCAACCTCGTTATCAGGCTCTGACTCACGCTTGACACTTGAAGCCATATTACATGCTGAAACACAGAATGCGCATTACTACACACTTATTCTACATGTATCCCCATTCACAATAAAGCATATTTCTGTGCCTACAACATCTTTGACAATGTGTATCATCAAGTCATTGTTAGAAAGTTACTGGACTCTATTTTGAACACATGATACAAAGCAAATTTGCCATACCAGAGATCCCACTGAACACACGCAACACTTTCCTGCAATAAGGTTGCCTACTTGAGGTATCTTACACCCTCAGAGGCGTTTTAGAGAAATAACTTTGCCATTCTCCAGCACATGTGACCCACTGCATGGACCCCAGAGTTGTTCTTATGAAAGCAAAAATCCCAGAACCTTTATCAGGAATCAAACCCCAGGTCAATGTACTGAATGTGCTTTGTGTGTGTGTTTGTATGTATGAAGGGGTAAAAAAGATGTGGGTCTGCTGAGGGCGACACTGACAGGGTCACTTGATGCAGGTGGGTGGCCTGACCATCAAGCAGATGGAAGTGACTGGTTTACAGAAGAAGCAGGCCAAGAGGCCAGCTGGGACCACTGGTGGCAACTCTGCTGCCCTGTCAGTATGAGTTAGTATATCCTGCTGCCAATGCCCAGTTCTGGCTGGCCACAGATCAGACACCATTGGCCAGAGCTGATTGATATTTGAAGACAAAATCAGGATATTCTGGTTCTAGCATCTCAGTCAAGGCTCTCTGATGGGACTAACAAGGATAAGGAGCACACAGTGGCCCCAGTAGTAATGCAAGTGCTTAGGGCAACGGAAAATAAACAGAAATCCAGTAATTGGTATATGTCTCCGGAAATTTTAAATGCCACTCATAACATCATTTAGTGCTTCATTCTGGTTCAACAGTTCTGTCATCTATGCTGCAAATGTCATCCAAATTGTCCAGCTCCAAAACTCCAAGCATGGAATCAGAACTAGCAACTCAAGAAAAGAAATTAACCTTTATACAAGCACTAAAATGAGAAATATCTCGATTTTTACATTATACTCACATCTGTGAGAATGAGTGCTTCTTTGTGTCCTTTTGAAATCTTGCCCCACTCTATCACAAATTCTACATGGATGTGTGACAGTTACTTTGTTGTTCTTTGTGGTTTGTCGGAAACTAAGTTCCTCCCGTTGTCATCATAAGAGTATTGGCAAAACGTTAGAACGTACTAAGCCATCTGGAAATTTGTATTTGAGGTTGTCAGTTAATTTCAAATCTTGGCAACCAACATGAATAACTTCGTTGATACCATGAACGCAATAAAAACATGCCAAATTCAAAAATTTGTAATTACTATGAGCAGAAACGATAAGACATACTGTTCCTGTACTTCAGTGATGTGATTTACACTATATAGCACAGTCCCATTGAACTTATCCACATATTTCATCTCGTAAGTTACACCATTAAACATCGCGTTATTCATTTAAAACAAACATTTCGTTTTCTAGTACGGTCACAATTCTCCGATTTTTACCGTTTTGCATAATAAATTAGCTGCATGAGAGTTCCGTGGATATCTACTTCACGAAAACAAATGTAGCTAATATACATTTTTCATGTATGAAACAACGTGAACTCCAATCTCTGAAGAAACTGCAACTTTCACACATGCGTGACTTTTAACTATAACGCATAGGCGCCATATGAAGGTATGGGAATGTATAGGTTATGTACGGATATTCAGAATATATCGCAAAAGCTACTATATTCAAGATGATAAGATCGGACAATCTTGTTACAATAACATCATATATTAACTCTCATAAAAGATCAATATTTATGAACAAATTCCTTCCTTAATTCGGGGGGGGGGCGGGGTGAAAGTATATATCTTGGGCGGTCCCATGTCTGAGGGGGAGGGGTGAAGTAAATGTTGAACGACGTTGAAGACTTGAAGACGGTTGCATTCTGGTTAGTGTTTCCTGTCACCTTACCAGGGATTAGCAGGTATATAGACATGTAACTCAACGCTATTGCATGGCAATATAGCTACTGTGATATTACGCACACGCACGCTTTTTTCTGTCATCTACGCCCACCTATAGCGACACTATACAAACTGGCCGAGCCACTGCCGAGATCTCAATCGGTTAACTACTATTCTACATGTCAACATCAACGTAGTTTGCACGCGAGTGGATACGTTTGGGAACACGAACACGAACGTGAAGCATAATGCTTATAATTCAGGAGTTTTTCTAATTTATCGGTGTTTCCAGACTGGATATTAATGCACCCACATTTATGCATAAAACGACATTACATACCCTTTTTTCAAGTTACAAAAATTAACAGTCCCAGTGACTTTTAATAAGACAATTTCGGACCTTCCACATAGTTAGCAGGGTGTGTTAATGAATTATGAACTTTTCTTTTATTGATAGTGGGATGGGACTAAGTCCCTTGTACTGCGGCCACTTCTGGCCAATTGTACCAGCCCCAGATGACAGGTGAGGGTGACTGTGGAGCAATTGGTGGAATGAAGATTGGCAGGGGAAACCGAAGTACTCGGAGGAAACCTGCCCCAGCTCCACTTTGTCCACCACAAAACCCACTTGACCAGACCCGGGATCGAACCCGAGCCGCCGCGGTGGGATGCCAGCGACTAACCGAATTATGAATGTACTATGATTATTAGAAAAATTAAGCCCAACGTTATGCTATTGTTATTGTTTATTAATTTTCAGTTAAAATATTTTTTTTCAACTTTGTATGCAAATTCAGTGTAAGAGACTGTGAGATTCTCTTCAGTTTCTGGCAATGAAGTGCACTTGTCTTGCAGATGAATTTGTGCGAATTCAGTAGCTTCAAAAATAATTTATTTAACTTGTTTTATATTAATTTTATTTGAATAGTGAAAACAACAGAGTCACGACTCAAAATGAGTTATAAATTGAATATATATATATGAAAACAAAAGGCATACTCTGAACTTAAATAATTTTATCCATATACATGTTATGTAGAAATAAAAAGTTCTGGGTTCTTTCGTTAATTACTGCAGAACAGATTACAAGATATCTCTTGGGATCAAAGCCACACAGAGCACAGAAAGGTAAATATACAAGAATACATGTAAATGATGACACAGAAACGTTATAAATTGTGGATTTATGGTCCGTAAATCTTTTGGAGTATCGTACGTATGTCGTTATCCTTGCTAATGAAAAGGAAGAGATGCACAAATAATCCAGATTTTGGGTGTGATTGGGAGATAATGGTAGAAATTTAGAAAAGCGCCCGTAACATCAGATTTGTTCAGTTATCTCAAACGCCGTAAGACACTCACTGAAAAGGTATATATTGAACATAAAACATACAATTCATTCTCCTCTAGAAATTTTGCTGTAAACATTTGTCGCTCCGACAGATACATAGCGAACTGCGATCGAGTAACCTACATGTCGCATTTCGGTCGTTATGCAACGTGTTTGTTGGTTGATTTGGACGGTTAGACGGTGGGAACGTGTTAATGTAGGAAGGCATCCTTGGTATATAGTTCATACGGTAAAATGAATTGCAAAAATAATGAATGCCGTATTTCTTCTGACAGGGAAATTATTATACGAATACGTACATTGCACATTTTGCCTGCAAGGAACGAACTCAACCGTATGAATGCAAGCAGTATAATGCAGTAAATGTTATTTGTTATAATAAAGTTTTCATAACGATGAAAATGTCATCCATCGAAGTCATGACATTCATCTGGCAGGTACTTGTGTGTATCGGACAGGCTGCATTCATTTTCTGCTGGATTTGTAGTTCTCAGAGCAGTGACTTTCAAGAGTACCATATTCTGGATATTAACGTGTTGCATCCAAAATAGTAATAAAAATAAACCGTCGGCAACTTATGTTCCCTTGTGGTCAACTTCTTATGCTGTGAATCGATTGGCGAGGAAATTACCGTGCGTCGAGGTTAGGTTTTAATATTTCGATAATGCACTCCCTTCAGCTCTTGACTCATTTGCAGTATCCGTGCGGGCTATAAATACGTGTATATATCCCGTTGTATTCCCAGCAACTATCAGAAGCTCCGTTAATTATTAATCTCATTATTATATTTCACAGCCTAATTAGTGAGGTTAGATTTGAAAGTAATTAGCGCTATGCATTATGCAAATGCGGAAATGCCATATGAAACAGGAGCAGAGATGCCAGCTGCAACCAAATGATCGCAAATGATGGTTTCTGTTTCATGTCACAAAGTTCAAAGCCTCAAAGAGTTCTAAGAAACACCAACAGATGGGGTAACGATAAATACAACGACGCAAGAATCGTTGTAATGACTGTGGCGCTCTCTCTTCAATTTTGCCAGATTCACCGTTTATTATATTATCACTAGAGTCTGTTTACTTTTTTAATTTATTTAATAACACTGGGTTAAGTGCGTGCGTTATATCTTTGGTACTCTATAAGAGAGACTGCAGTTTAAATCATTACGAATAGGAATGAGTTGACCAACATGTTATTTCTGACTGAAAGTCTTTGTAAGTTGCTAGCAATTTTTACTGCTTAATGACTGGATTGAAGTCCTTAATATAGTTCTAAATAGAAAGGGCGCGTGTGTAGGAGTAGAGGTCTACAGATTTTACAGGTCAAAACTGGCAAGTCACTTCTTGACGAGAATAAAATTGTCGCGTTAATGAAGAATCATAGGTTGATCATGAATGTGTATTTTGGAAGCGTGCAGGAGGGGACGGCCGTGGCCTGTTATTAGAGATAATTTTGGGATGTAGGAGCAACCAAGAAAGAGACTCGTGAAAGCCCACAAGACTTACAAGTATATTTCAGGTGGTGACGCCCTGGAAAACTTAAAAAAGTGTCACATTTGACGGAAGGAACTTGATTGTTAGTTAGTTGATTGTTGATTGTTGATTGTTGATTGTTAATATTTCATCATCTTCACTATTCTGTCACTAAAATCTCGCAACTTATGTTACCAGTCTCGAGATATTTCGCTGTGGGTTTCTCGAATGGCACATCTGTATAATAGGCCATTACTTAACCGTTTAAGGCCCGAAGTGCGTCGAAATAACTTTCAGATCTCCAGTTCATACCTCAGAGAAAACACCATGAATGTCGAAGGGTACTGTCTACTGGGGTGTGACTTCCTGTAGCAACGTTTCGAAGGTACATCCTGGTTCCATCTCCAGGGCCAAAGAGTATACCAAGTAGGAAGCAGTAGCAATCAATGCATCGCCATAACAACGACCAACCGGTTAATGTGAGTTAGGGAAACAATCACTATTTATTGTGAGAATCATATTGGACAAATATATATATTGTGTGGGTAAAATTCAGATGTATTTTAATGTCTAAGCAGGTGGTATGTATAATTACCAGAGTACTTTAAATGGTTGGGAAGGGTGGGCAGACAATCTCCAAAGAGCCACGTGAAGTGACCTTTATTTTTCTGCTGGTTTGAGAATTATACTTCACTGAGACGTCTGACAAGGGGTGAGCCGTTCTCTCACTCACTTCCTGATGACTGATCTGGATCTCCACTATAGGGACACAATTGGTGATTCAGTTTGAAGCTGCAGTTGGAAAGCCCACATTTTATGCATCTTTTGTGTGTAAAGTATGAACTTATCGGGGTTCTTGCTGGCAGCCCCACGTATTCAGAACCTCCGTATTGTTGTTACGCGACCGTGTATAGAGCACACAAGGCTATAATAGTGTAACTATTCTCCCTGATTCTTACGGGGGACCTGAAAAGGAACACAATGATATCACTCTGTAAAAGTAAAGTTGTCCCTATGCTTAATTCATTTAGCACAGGGCCATTAAATGGTATGTGGAATGGCGGTACAGCTCCACCTTTCTTAGCCTTGTTAACCAGATGAAAGTGAAGACACTTTACCACATGGAAAGAGCCCCTGGCACCTCCTGGCTAGAGGGAGTCAGGAGCCGGTGTGGACGCTATGAAGAAGAGGGAACGTCTTGCCCCTGTCGGGAACCGAACCCCGACCCCTCTGCCCTCTGCGTGAGGTTTGAGACCCCATTAAAATATTATGTTAGTTACATTAATACACTTTAATTAATTAACTTTAATGTTCTTTAAAATTTTAGTCGGTATAACGTCAAGGTTTTTAGCTACACGGCCGTGGAATCAGGGTTCGGTTCCCGGTTGGGACAAAAGAGTTTCCCCTTCTAAACGTTGTCCAGACCAGCTCTTGGACTCACCCAGGCTCTTATCCCATGTGTACGGGACCATTTTTTCCAGGGGGTAAAGCGGCTGGAACGTAAAGCTATTCATTTCCTCCATCTAGTGCCGAGGTTAAGAATGGTGGAGTTATACACCTCCCATGCGTGTTCATGGCGTGATGCTTAAGAACTCAGGTAAAGGAACAAATTTACCTTCGTCCATATGGGATTTTGTGACATTGAAAACGAAAGCGACGATATCTGGAGGGAAGAGAGGGAACTGCTGCTTGTGGCTGTGAAGAGCGGACTGAAGAAGAGCACACTAGCGCATTATGCACAGGGTGTAGGCTGCTTGCAATGGAGCGGTTTCCTGCAGCCGTAACTTGGCAAATCCCCCCCCCCTCCCAGTTAGGAGCAGGTCGACTTCCTTCGTCATAATTAATAACACAATATTCCAGAACTTGCCAACTCTGTGAGGGGCACGCGATAGCATAGTTATTTGAGGCACTATGCTACAAGCCGGAAGGTCGCGGGTTCGATTCCCGATCACGTTATTTGATTCTTCATATTGACCCAATTCTTCCAGCCGCACTATGGCACTGGGTTCAACTCAGCCTCTAACAGAAATGAATATCAGGAATCTTCCTGGGGGTAAAGGGCTGCCGGTAGGAGCGTAAGGCTGACAACCTCACCGCCATCTATGAGACGACTGTCTAGAAACTGTGGGAGCCTTGACGTCTCACAACCCTATGGGCCTCCACGGCCTGTTACATGGATAGCTTTACCTTCTAACCAACTTCATGGAGCCGAGCCCTCTTTGAGATCTCAACAGTCAATCAGCCACATAAAAGAATCCACATTGTGGGGAACTTGAAGGTTCATTAACGTGTTCACAAAAGCCCGCCAATTGTCCTTATCCCGAGCCAGATGAATCCAGTTCATCCCATCCTATTTTTCTAAGATTAATTTTTTAATATATTCCTCCCACCAACTTCTAGGTCTCCACAGTTCTCTCTTTCTTTCTGGCTTTCCCACCATAATCCTATATACATTCCTCTTCTATCTCATACGCGCTACATGCCCTACTCATCTCATGCACATTTACTTGATCATGCTAACTGTATTTGGCGACGAGCCGCTGTGACCAGTACCTCATTTAAGTGACACGGTATTTGCATATGGTTTCCTTCCCCGGGACAAGGCGCCGAGGCGTGAATTTGTGGAGTTTTGTCTGCAATCCCCCGTACCAGTGCATTGCTTCATGTTTGATTATTATGCAGAAGGAAAACTTCACCGCTTATAATAGAGATTATGCTATGAGAGAAATATATTTTCCTGTCACTGTCTATCGTTCAGTAAAGCTGAGAGTTGTTGTTGTTGTTTTCAGTTTCGTAATCCTGTACATAGTCGGTACGACTCCCTCGACGGGGATTCAGCCCTGTCACAAGGCCGCTACTTACAGCACAAACACAGAATTAACGCACACAGACATACGTGCCTCGAGTTGGATTCGAACTCAAGCGTTCGAACGAGAGAAGGTAGTTCATGAATTAGACCGCGCGGCCACTGTGATCGGTATAAAACGCAATAACTGTATTAATTCTAGCAGAAATATGTGTGCTGTAGAGATGCATGATTGTTCCTAATTTGTTTTATGGTCCTTAATAACATTCGAAAAGCCTCTCCAACAGGACACAGCACACCATATAGGTGTTGGTTTGGGGGGTGCCGGTCGGGCCACGCCGCACATGCGCGTGACAGCAACATCCCCATTTTTTATTTATTCTTTTTTACTCTGACGGAACGAACCGAGCGTCCAGGCAGTCGTGAGGAGACAGGCAGTAGGAGAAGAGAAGCAGGGAGGAGAGAGCAGTGGGAGTGCTTCTAAATATACCATCAACACGGCTGTCTCTCCATGTCATACACAGAGTCAGTGGGACTTGGTCGACCGACAGGCATCTTGGTCTCCGTGAGAATAAAAGACGATCACCGGAACATACGTCAGCAAAACCTGGCGTAGAAAAATCGAACTCATAAGATAAAAGACGATCACGTTTTATTTTAGCGGCTAAAGGAAGTAACCTTGGCTGTGTTTTGGCGGTTTATGGCTGCAGTGTTCTGAAGGATGCATAGCGTGAATATAAACGTTTATATCTTTCCTGCATTGCCGTTATTGCATTCTTACTTATGTTAATTGTTTAAAAATATACAACGCAGATTTCGGGTGTTAATTTACGCTATTGTCGTACTTTTGTCTATAATATGAAAACGTGTGCTCGTGTTGTGTGTATCATTAGTGTGTTTGAGAAGATTTGATTGCAGTTTATAAAGTAATTAAGTACGATATTCAGATAAGAACTCGCCTTGCTAGCTGGTAAATATTACACCATGAGAATTCAACGTACTGGAGGACCTCTCTTCCGGGACTAAATTATACCAGCTGAAAATCGATGGCCTATTTATTATTTAACTAAGTGCGGATTATACGAAGTACATCAAGAATATCGCTCTCTGTTTACAAATTGATTAATTGAACGGAACTGTACTGGTGTGCTGAAATTCTGTCATCATGGTGTTTCCATTTCTGGCTTCGTTCTGCTTTGCGTTTTTGGTTCCCATCTTCTGCTCTGAAACAGGTAAGACGATACAGATATTATTAAACATTCCTTACTTAACAAACCCAGGCCGCGCCATAGCTCAAGCGGTTAGTCGCTGGCTTCCCACCGCGGGGGCCCGTGTTCGATCCTGGGTCTGATCAAGTGGGATTTGTGGTGGACAAAGTGGCGCTGGGGCAGGTTTTCTCCGAGTACTTCGGGTTTCCCCTGCCAATCCTTATTCCACCAATTGCTCCACAATCACCCTCACCTATCATCTGGAGCTGATACAACAGGCCAGAAGTGGCCGCAGTACAAGGGACTTAGTCCCACCCCACTGGCAAGTGTGACGGATCTGTCTCACCCCCCTGTTAACAGAATATGACCTCGAGGGAATGTGACATGTGTAGTTCTTATCAGGCTGAGTAGCTGTTGAATTTTATATTCGGCGTTGAACTCTGTAGCGTGTGGCGTTTATAGTTACACGTTGACATTTTATTCCCGCTGGGATAACGAATGGAGATTATACGTCAAATGGTACAGTTAGGAAGCGAAATATGTGCGTTAAAAAGTATATATATATATCGAAATATGCATCAGTTCAATGGGTCATTTTTTAAGGGAATTAATTTTGTTTTAACCCGAAAATACAATTTTGTTGTGTTGATTCATATGTGATTCGCCATCCTTCGATAACAGCATTTATGTAGTTTGCTGCTTTTATATTATTTCATGTATTTTTGCCTTTTTTTTTCCTACCGGGAAATCGAGGTTCCAATCTCTGTTCTTTAAGTCTGAGGATTTTATGTCGCTGGAGATACATATTTTGATATTGTGGGGTATAACATCGTAGTGTAGTCTGGTTGAAAGTTAACGTTTCGGAGGAACATATTGCCTCCATCCTCAGGGTAGAAGATGCAAGCAGTACATTCCTCCGAATATGGAGGCAGTGGGCGCTGTGTACCTCCGAAATGTTGGTATGCATATGTCAGGTTAGGACATGGCGACATAGCCCACAAGTCAACAAAAAGATTGAAGTTAACTTCTGTCAGACTCTCCACGTGGAACTCTGTACTGCAGGAAGCCATAATATGGAAATGGCACGGCGCCCTCCCTCTGGTAACACACGTGTCGCATTAGACAGGTCCAAGTTTCAAATATTTGTAAGGTGACCCGCCATAGTAATCAAGATCCTGTGTCTGGTTTTCCTCAGTTCTTCCTAACAAATCCAGCATGGTACCGCAAATTGGGTGACTACCGTTTCCTTCCAAATCCTTGCACTGCTCCGATGCTGCAGAGCGTCAGTTCCTGTCACAGTCATTAAATTAGCCGGACGTAAAATGGGTAGCTTTTATGAAAGCTCTTGACCGTGTAGTTTGGAGAGATCCAGACGTTTCGGAGGAACATTGTTTGGATTTGTAAGATCGAAGAGTAAGCCAGACAAGAAACGAGAATTGAGCGGGCCGCAAGCTTCTGCTGGTTTTATCTTTGGCTTACTTTTCGACTCTGAAGGTGGAGGCGATATGTTCTTTCGAAACTTCTTGCTCCCTCATAAAGAATACGGCGTTACAACCCACAAGACTATACCCTTTATAGACACCGCCGTGAGAAACCAAAAATTTTCGCGGTTATCTTTTGTTTCTATTTAGTTAGATGTGGTGTCAGTAACCATGTAAAGTTTACTGGTAACATGACTGACGAATAATGAATTGGAAAGGATTTGGAAGGAAGCGGTTGTGGCTTAGTCGCGGTATTGTGTCGCCTTTTATCTGCAGAGACTGAGAAAAACCACGAAACACAACCCAGTCACTTTATCCGGCTTACCGAACTGCATTCAAATCGAGCTTATAGTTACTGCTACGCCAGTCTGCACGGTGTCACGATCATGGTCTGAAGGAGAAGCAATGCCGAACCTCAGCATGGCTGAGGCATCACGGCTGTGCAAGCCTGCTCTGTGGTGCGTAGTGGAATGAGACAGTGCTGCTGTACAGTGCGGGAAATGGGGAACTTCAGAGCCTCAGGGCCTCCGAGTGTGAGGCACGCTCGTATGTTATAACGAGTTTAGTCGGAGAGGCTGTAACTTATCATATTGTCACACATATGTATGACTATAGACGGGGTATGGATTGGCGAATGGATTTGCTGACCACTTATGCATACAGCTGGGAACTACAAACAATTACAGCGCCGCCGCTAGTCTCTACAGTTCACAGAACACCACAGCAACCTCTAAGCCTCTGTCTTTTATAGTCTCTCCTAGTCGTTGCTTGGTAACAGCTCCTAACAATGGAGATTTTTCAGCTTCTATGCCCCACGTCGTTGCCCGCTGGCTAGTACTACTCACAACTGAACTAATTGCTCCAACTGTCCTGGTTATAACATCTCCGCACGCGCCACATAGAAAACAACGTTCTTCTATTGTTTCATGCGTACTAGTTGCCGCGGAAACGTGCAAAATGTCTTTTCCACCTTCACAGCATGTAGACCGGTTATGAGCCCTACCCAGGCTACGATCGAATGAGCAGCGGGGGCTTGCACCTCGGGGGTAAATCGGTAGGAGCGTGAAGCTGGTTAAACTGGTGCCTAGGTTAAGAATCTATGAAAATGTACTTCGACTTTCGTCTTCATGGCGTTGTGCTTAACTGAGCACGGAGAAAGCCCAGTCGTTGCCTAGCGACGGCACGGAATGTGCTAACTCTGTGGGAAACTGGTGGTAGTTCATACCCATAGTACGGTTGTGTGGGCAGGTTAATATATTGGCTGCCCTCTACGGCTGGGGCAGGTATTAACTTCACTGAAGTATCTTGCGGGTTTCCTCAGTCCTTCAGTCAAACGCAGGGATAATATCTAAGTTCGGCCACAACTTCTTCCTTCCAAATCCTTTCCCAAAACTTTGCAGTCTATGATTCACTGCTCATTCTACGCTACGTAGTCTAGTTCAGTCGGTACAGCTGCTGCCTACTTGCTAGAGGGTTGTGGGTTTCCATTCCCAGCAGGGGAAAGACCATGTCCGGACCCCAGTGGGGGCCCTTTCCCCGGAGGTACAGCGGCAGGGGCGTGAAGCTGGCCACTCCCCCACAAGTCTTCATGGCGTGGTGCTTTACTTATAAAGGGCACGCGGTAGGGTAGTTGGTTGAGCTACTATGCTACAAAACGGAAGGTCGCGGGTTCGATTCCCGATCACATTTGATTTTTCATATTGACCCAATCCTTTCAGCCACACTCTGGCCCTGGGTTCAACTCAGCTTCTAACAGAAATGAATATCAGGAATCTTCCTGGTGGTAAAGGGCTGCCGGTAGGAGCGTAAGGCTGACAACCTCACCGCCATCTGTGAGCCGACTGTCTAGAAAGTGTGGGAGCCTCGACGTCTCACAACCCTATGGGCCTCCACGGCCTGTTACAGGGATAACTTTACCGTTTACCTTAATTTATATATTTTTTTATTGCTAGTGGGGTGGGACTAAGTTCCTTGTACTGCGGCCACTTCTGGCCTATTGTACCAGCCCCAGATGATAGGTGAGAGTGATTGTGGAGCAATTGGTGGATTGGCAAGGGAAACCGAAGTACTCGGAGAAAACCTGCCCCAGCGCCACTTTGTCCACCACAAATCCCACTTGACCAGACCCGGGATCGAACCCGGGCCGCCGCGGCGGGAAGCCAGGGACTAACCGCTTGAGCTATGGCGCGGCATTAATTTATATAGCACAGGGCCAACTTGACCTTTATTAAGGGCGTCGTAATGTTATCCACAGGGGTGACAGCACGTGAGGGTGGGGGGAGGTGGCTCGTTGCGACCTTGGTCACCGAGCGAGAGGCCTGGTTGCTAGCCCAGCGAAACTCTGCTCTGCCTTGAGGCTCAGCGGGCGATGCTGTCGGCTAGAAATGAGCGCCGTGTAAACTGATCACGGCACGAAGTAGCCCAGCTGCACTCTCACACGCGCGGCCCCAGCCTCGTACGAAATCTTTTGCGTGATTTTACCCAGAATCTGGAACTGAATGCCGTGTTACTAATTTTTTTTTTACTTCTCATATTCAGCCCATCTCAGTGTGCTCTAACTTAAAGCGCTTTGATCATACTGTAATGCAAATGTTAAAGTTCCTTTTTATGTAATTTTCTGTGTTTCTAGACACTTCACCTCTTTCATTCTAATTTGTATTCTACTTTAAATTTATTATGTTAGCCCGCTTCTTTAGTCTGTGTGTGTTGCCGTTAATAATATATGATGAAGTGTATATATATATATATATATGTATATAAGGGTTGGGCCATAGAAACCGGCCCCCGCACTGAGACCTTCAGTGATCTATTGTGCTTAACTGTATATATATATATTCATGATATTTGGGGCGGGATTTTCGTTGTACGGACTTACATTCTCTTGTAATCGATAATACCAACTTAACGATCGTACGAACTTCTGAGGTGGTAGGAAATTTATGATATTTAATTGTATGTTTGTGTGACTGAACGTCTCGGTGGAGTTGTTAGCGCTCTTGCTTCGTTTCCGGAAGTCCCAAGTTTAAATCTCACATCGGGGCTCGGCTATCCGTACTAAATTTTCCGTGGTTTTTTCAGTCCCATGAGACAGGGATAGTAGCTCAAATAGGCCTCGACCTCTTCTTTCCAAAGCCTTTGCAGTTATTCTCTAACCACAAAATGTGAGATATTTACAGCGTCCATAAATAAGTCGCAAATAAATAAAATAAATAAATATAATTTTAGGCGGCCGCGCTGTTATCCACGTTTTCTTCGCCTCGGAATTAGATGGAGGCGAGTGATCAGTTTCACGCCACGACCGCTTTACCCCCGATACTCATTGGATATGAGGTTGGGTGGACCCCAGAGCCAGTCTGGATGACATGGAGAAGAGAAACTTCTTGATCCTACCGGGACTCGAACTCCGATATCTCGGCCGTCCATCCCGTTGCCAGTCTCTATACCGACTGAGCTATCCCGGTTGTTATTACTGAAGGTAGTAAGTTAAATATTACGGACTTAAATAGGTCCACCAAATTAAATGAAAACCCGTTACCAGCTTCC